ATATTGTCACCAATCCACAAAAATTCATCAGCTCTTTCGCCCCGGGGAGTCATCTCTGTTACTCAGCCTGTGTTTACATTAACTCTTCAGCACTCCCTCAGTCCATTCGTTTGGTCTACGCATAACTTATAGAATAATTCTTAGTATAATGGAGTGATATAATCCAAATGCTCGATGAAATGAATATGAATTAAATTTTAGTAAGCTTCTACCGATTTTAGTAAATGTCCATAACTCCTTGATGAAAATATTTCTTTTTCTCTATGTATGAGATAATTACGCATATCTTCTTTTGTTTATCTTAACGCTGCTTCGATGTTTACGTATGGGAGTTCCACCTTTATGTAACACAAGACCTACTGCACACTCTGTGCACCGAATTTGAATTTGGCGGTTCGGGTTAATCAACGAGGAATTAGTCCTACGCGTTTCGAGATATTTCGACTCAAACCAACTTCATTGTTGTGTTTCTACTTTCATAATAAATTCATAAAAGTAGCACTTTAGAGGCGCGCTACGCACGTCTCACAAAGCGTTTGCCAATTATTATTTGCTATCTTTAATTCCATGATAGAACAAAAATGACCAAATAATCGGCTATGTCTCAATATTTTCAGAATTAAATCTATAAAAAACAAATGACTAAGCGATAATCGCAAATTTTAAAGCGATACAATCTTCTCCTTTAATATATAAGATACCTAAGTAATCAAGTGGTAATTTGAAATAGAGCAATTAATATGGATTGCAATTGTTATACAAAATCGAATGACACCATTCTGTCATTGATATTCATATGAAAATCCTTAACAAGCATTTCGGCCGATACGTTGATCTTGGTGGTTGGAACTATATCCTTTAATTCGTCTTTTTACGATGTGAACGACTCGAAATATTAAATTATTTGGAATTCATGGAATGTGAAGAAAAATCCTTTCTTGAAATTGTTGATCAAAAAATATATATTAATTTTCGGAATCATTCACAATTATTAATCATTCCTCCGGGAGTATGATTCACACATGCAGGCACTTTATAGGACTTTTATTTTTAAATTAATGTATCAGGAAATTCCTATTATAATATAGATAAAGTGTGAATTCTTCAACAATAGTAATTCATGTCATATGGCCTGAAAAGTATTTTTCTAATGAATTTAACCATAATGTGCGCCAAAGGCATTTTAAGAATAAAGAATAAGAATTTTTCTTAGTCGTCAAATTATTGCACTTAAAAACTCTTTCTCCCATTGTCACAGTATCAATTTATAGCCATCATGTGACAAAAAAAAACATCCAATTTCCTCTATCGACATATTTTTTTTCTACTATCATCATTAAAGGACAATTATATGCCGCAAAACTATTTTGAGGACACGTTTGCTCAAGTGTTAACATGGAGAGTGATTAAACATAAACGTGAATTTTTGCCTCTTGACTTGATTTTTTGTCATTTATAATCGCCTCTTGCTATTTACATAAAATGAAGGCCACATTGAAGTTATGGTACAAAAAGCTGCTATAATCGTAAAATGATCATGAAATTTTTTTCCTAGCCAAGGCCTACATATTTTTTAATGATTTTTCTTTCGTTGATTCTTCCTCCTGTTTTATTCTAAATCTCTCTATATATAATAGCGGATAATTGTCACATGAAACTTCGTCACGAGATACAAATTTTCATAAATGAAACTAGTCTCGTAGATTTTTAGTACAAGGCATTATTTCAGAGACCACAAACATTGAATACTATTGATAATCTTTAATCTCTGAAATAGCTCAATGTTGCAACCAGTAAAATTTCAAATTCGTTATAATCAATTAATTGAAAAATTAATCTGTCAATCCACATATTGATAATGAATGAATATGAGAATGGCAGATCTAGAATGAAAGCGAGTGAATTCAATAAATTTGGTTGCAATATTGTAAAAGAAATAATATAACCTACTATATTGATAATTTTTTTTTATTAAAAACCACACAATAACATCTTTCGTGACTGCATTTATATAATGAAAACCCGTCACGGTATGAAAAAAATATATTCGTTATGCCCTAACGGCATCAAAACTCTGCAATTTTCGGGACGGTCGCGATGAGGCTAATTATGATATTTATCCCTAATGAAATTAGTCCTGCTCTTCGAAGCGCGTGGAATAGACGTCTTACCGTGAAATTACTATAATAGCCAAGGCGATTCACTCTGAAGAGGCACAAGTTAAAAATAAAAGAGAGATTAACTTCCACAAAACAGGAAAAAACAAGATGAGAGGAGATTTAGATAAAAAAAAACGTTCCATCTACTAAAGTGAGTTTTAGGCAGACACACATCCATCCAGCCATCTTTCATATTCGCGTGTAATAACGAAATCATCCGTCGGTCTTTCCTACTTATCTCCGAACCACCTAAAACATAGTTTTTGAAGATTTTTTTATTTGCTCTTTTGGTGAAAGAATTCAAAATTACGGTCATAAAAAAAGCGAAAGCGAGGGGCAAATTAGAAGGGTATATGGGCGAGACCCCGGAGGGGGTGTCCCAGTGTGTTCTCTCCTTATTCCTGGGCGAGATGGATGACGACCTTTACCTTGAAAGAACGAAAAATTTTGTCCTCGAATTGAGCTGAACGTACAGCCTGAGGTCCCGGATGCCTCGATGGGCCCCACTGGCATTACATGCATTGAAAAAACGCTGAGGGAAAAGGAAGAGGAGGTTGAAATAGTCAGGGGGTTGGGGGGTCATTGAGGACCCGCAGCCGGGAGCAGCCGATGGGCTCGTTCCGCTGGAAACAATTGCTGCCTCGGGGCATCATTTACATCATAAGCAATCATAATGATCGAATTTTCGACGAACGATGATCCAATGAGTGGAACGATGGGGGAGCCACAAATTCAGAAGTGGGTACCCACTTACCCCAACTACCAAACTAACGCCAAAAGACCTCACCTACACTTCAACTCCCCTCCTACGATCCAGCAACCAACTCCTTCTATCCTTTTGGTTACATATATTGCTCCAGGCTACCTGCCAACAGTTCATAACAACTGGCATCCACCCCGTACCACTTCTCTTCTTCTAGCATTTTTATTCTTTTTGTGCACTCCATTTTTTAACACATGGGCGATTCGTTTTTGGAAAAGTTAATCGTCCAAAATCGCCGCTACGAATAAATCATTTGTACACATGTTACTTGCCAATTTTTCTTTATCGCACTCGAGATGCTATTTAGCACCTCTCAATTTGCCGATTTCTGATACGTACGATCATGTGGGAACATCTTGAAATATACTTTTATTATAGCTTCATTCAACTCAACTGCGGGACAAGCAATCAATTGTGTGGAATACTTGTCGTAGTGGGAATATCAAAAATGAAAGTTCTCCATGCAGACTTTGAATGGTCCACGTACTTCTTATTTTTCGGCATAGGAAAACTGATGAATGAGTGAATATCAAAGACCCTCTTCACATTCTCTATTCTAAAGCCCAATATCACTTTTTAACACGTATTCCACTGAAAGCTGATGTAAAGCCAATACTTGGTGCCACTCTCGGATGAACTTTACAGCCCAATCTACTGACATCATTCATATCCTTTGTATCAATTTCAGTGGTTTCAATCAATCTGGTTCCATCTGGTTTCAAGTTATTTTGCCGATGTACAGAACGATACGAATAACAATATATGGTTTAGAACTTTGTTCAGTAGATAGTCTCTTCCAACTCTCGAAAAGAAAATCAAATTCGTATCGCCTTCAGTGACATTATAAATATCGTGGTGTCGTTAAACGTATTGAATATTGTGCTGGGCTTGTTGTAAGTAATTATTTATACTTCCTCCATAACCAAATACGTTTTTGTCACATGCCTTCAATTCTCCCCCACCAACTCTGTCACGACAGTTGCTTTATCGTAAATGGTAATAATCTGAAGACCTCTGAATAGATGAAAAAAAATATTTTCCCGTATTCTGGGGACCCAAATATATATAGGTGGACGAGAAGCTTATCGGTAATAAAAAAACACCCTATATATTAATTGAATGCTCTTGCTTTCTCAGAATATCCAAACAAGTCGGTGAGATCATATATAATTTTGCAAACAACAAATCCCGGATACAGACCGTCAAGCAAAACAAAGTCCACTGAATAATAATAATAGTACAACGGTTTCATGATTACTATATAAGATTCTTAATCGGTGACAATGCGTAGATTTTTTAAGCCGCCATTACTTCTTCAAGTATGTACTCCACCTGAAGAAGTAATTGCTGAAAAAAAACTAGTCTGATGACGTTTCAATCCGCGATCGATATCATAATTTCTTGAAAATTATGAAAAGAAATACAAACATCATTGTTCAATATCTCTAAGCAAAGGCCGCTCTTAACGAAAACCTTGTGGTCCTTTGGAGAACTCCCTAACAATATCAGTTGTAATTTATTAGAAAATATTACTTCAAATATGATGAAACAGATCTTATCAAATCTGATTTATTCAAAGAAAGAATAAATACTGAATTGTTAAATGCCGACACAAAAAAATTTTTTAACATTAATCAGTTAATTGCAACGGGATCTGCATATTTTTCGCGCCACATTCGAAATTCGTTCATTGAAATGCCTCACACATGTTGAATTCTATTCATATACGAGAGAACATGATCAGAACAGAAAGCTTTCAACGATAATTGTAATTAACCATTCCCTACCATTGTCAATGGATTTTTTTAAATATTGAGAATACCTCGGAACTGGTATCAAATATTTTTCTTTTTTTTTACTGTCAATGAATATTAAGAAAGCGTGACCAGTATATATTTTTCAAAAAATTCAGACTTTTCCGTTTTAATTTTATGGCAATATTGAATGAATTGATCAATTGATGATGAAGATCAAGGTCAAGACTAGTTTAGTTCAAAAGTTGTTATTGCTAGTTATCGTGTGTAATTTGACTGTTATTGATATCATTGATGCGAACATATATTGTGCGAGCGCGAAGGTTGTATGTAACTCAGTCGTCGATAATCTCTGATGAACTCCGGATCGCTGTGGGAATCACATTCATAATGAACACTAATACTTTACTGTTAACTATTTTTTTAAATATTTTCATAAATACTTCAGGTAAGTTATTAATAATGCTTTTGTAACGATTTCTATAAAAATAGATACATCTATTTATACATTCATTCAATAATGTCCAGTTCAAATTCAAATAGTTGGTTACGTTATTTCGATGTAATTTTTTAATAATAATTAGGGTTTAATGGGAAAATTAAAAAATCATGTTTCACTCTCCCGGTATCTTTAGTACTATATAAAGTGATTAATGATTATTAATACATAATGATGATAATGAAAGTTATTAAATGAGTAGGTACTATATTTTGTGCTGATAATTTCTAATTGTAGGTGCAATTGAATGTCCGACAATAATTTCACGGGCACAGTGGCAAGCGAGACGATCACGCGAAGATAATTTTCTTATCACGCCAATTCCTTACGTTATTATTCATCACACTGTGACACCAGAATGTGAAACATTCGCCGCGTGCTCAGGACGTATTCGTAATATACAGGACTATCATATGGATGAGTTGAATTGGCAAGACATTGGATTCTCGTAAGTTCATGTCATAAATCGTACAAGTAGTGTCTACACAGAGAGAAAGAAAGTAGAAATTACCTTCCGAACTGTAATCTATATGGGCGAAGAGAAACGCGATGAAAGTGTCAGTTGGCACAGAAATTGGACGAATCATCACGTTAATTCTACGATCTGTTCCGTAAAAATTACCCACTAGTATTATAACTTACCACTGCCTTGACAATAACTCGTTCTGTCATTTTTATTCATTCTCTTCCAGATTTTTCATCGGAGGTGATGGCAATGTCTATGAAGGTGTTGGATGGAATAAAGAAGGGGCACACACGTACGGATACAATAAAAAATCTGTTGGAATTGCGTTTATTGGATCTTATCAACGTAATAACTGGAATCACATTTAAATTAGATTTTGTTGTTTATTATTTGAATAAAGTATTACATTCGCTTACCAATTTTCATTATGTAGGAGAGGAGCCATCTCAAAAAATGGTGGATGCAGCTCACAAACTGATTGCTTGTGGAAAGGAACAGTTAATGGTGAGACCAGATGTTAAAGTTTTGGGCGCTAGTCAAGTAACAGGCACAGTAAGTCCTGGAAAGAAGTTATATGAAAAAATTCAAAGTTGGCCTGAATGGGCTTCTGTACCATAATCATTACTTTCAGTACGTAAAAATGTATTTTCTCTTGCTCTGATTTTTTGCACAATAAAAGTTCGATATTTGTGGGCTACTATGCCAAATTGCTTTCTAATTCTGACACATCAACTGGATAACCGTGTAAAAGAGATAAGTCCCTCTTCAACTGATATCAGTATGAAAAATGAGAAAATCGGCATATTCTCCAAATATGATCAGAAATACAATTAATATGCGTCTTTTAACCGCCCAACGGCTTCCAAAATCTAATCCTTGACTTTTTGTTTCCATCGCATATGAACCACAAAATGTGTGCAAACCACAGAACGTAAATTGTCACTTTCCAACACAGTGTGTTGAAATAATATACAGATATTACGCAACAAGTGCAGTTTTTTGGCTCGCGGGTAGTTGTAAAATGAGCCGAAGACGAGCTTTACAATCCTACGAGTTGAAAAATACCATAACACACGAGTTTTGTATAGTATTTCACGTTATACATATGATGATATTTCATTCATTTTTTAAAAATTCTTTTCGAACACTTATCACTTTTTTATTCTTATATATTCATTAGCGCCAATTGCCGATAATTGAAGTTCGAGATTGTCTCTCACGTATTGAGTATCAATGCACGAATAAGTTTTTACTCCCGCTGTTGCACAGGGCATACGTGCAGCTTGACCAATACAGGAAATTTAACTTTCTGCTTCAAAATCGCAGCAGGAAGTACGTACTTTCGACAGATGTAGGAAGAAAAAACAATCAACGAAACATTATCATCTGATAAAACGCCGGACGAAGAAGAAGTTAACAGAAAATTTGAAGCAGAAGCACAATTAATCGTAAAATTTACGGGGTTGAATCTTGTAAGTCACCAGATGGGTTCTCGTAATTTGCGAATTCAGAATCGTGATTTACGGGATCGATCTCAAAATGTCCGAGTTTTTGGGTCATTTGAAGTTTGGGTCACTTTCAGTGACTTTTTTTCAAAAATTTCCCGAGAGAATTTTTGAAACTTTCGAAATTTTGGGAAATATTGCTGAAAGCTGAGAGAAATCGAAGACGGCAAATTCTGAGAGAAATTATAAGCTATATCTTCCACCGCTTCCATAAAATTTCTCAAATTTACTAAAATTGCCGAATTTTTAAATATCTTTTGGAGAAATGGTGAAAAAAAGTTACTGAAAATCATGTTCAGATGACCCAAAATATACTCAAACATAAAAATTTCATGTTGTCTAAAAAAAATTTTCTAATATGTGTCGTTGTATTTACGACCCCAATCACAGATTTTACGTGATTGAGACATCGTAAATTACGGGAAAGGGAACATAAATTACAAATTAAATTTGTAAATCTTTTAATTCATGAACGGGTCTTCATAATTTACCAGTTCGGAATCGTAATTTACGGTACAAAAGCAGTCATTTACTACTTTCTGGACGTAATTTACGTGGTTTTAACTCGTAATTTACGTTTAATTTAGATTGGATGTCATCCCAAAGAGTTCTTCTTATATGTATTTACGATTCCAATCGCAGATTTTTGGTAATTGAAATGTCGTAAATGACGTGAAAGGGAGCGTAAATTACGGGGTCGTAACTTGTAATCTACGTGATTTTGGCCCGGAATTAACGTTTCCAAACTCGTAATGTATACGAGTTTAGAAATTTCGTAAATTACGTTCTAAATCTCGTATTTTAAGTATCTTTTTTTCTGTGTGTACGAAACTACTAAGTACAGTACAATAAAGTCCCGCTGTTCAAAATTTGAATAAAACTGAACACATTGAGGATATTTTCTACTTTTGAAAAACTTGAACGTTATCAAAGGCGAGAAATGTAACATGTCTTTACAATCGCCAGAAAAGTGCCCGACGGTCTGGTGACGAAATGTACTATAGGAGTTTCATAAGTCTTAAGTTGGAACTTTTAAAAGTCCTGCTATCAGATCCAAAGTCTCATATTGAAATGGAATTTTTTGGGATACAATCCATAACTTCGCTGAAGATTCTGGTCATAATATTGTCTACTAACTGGTGCTCGTTCATGATCGTAGTGTATTGTTCATCATGGGCGCTGTCAGGTGGACACTAACTTTGACATGTTTACCATGATGAAAACTATTTGTTTCATCGAGCCGTTTTCTATTTTCGGCATTCAGTTTCGATCGGCTCGACGAGTGCTTTTATTCATAGTACATTATTAGAGACAGATACTCAAGCTATCATTATTGATTACTGAATCAGCGATTTTAAATAATAAAATTATTCAATCTCTGCGTGGACTCCATCGTTAGGCGTCAAAATAGTACTGTCGGCCAAAACTGTCGTCAGGCCGTACGTTTCCAGATTTTCAAATTTAGTAGCTGCTGGTTCAATCGACAAAAGACGCAGACTAATTTGCTCATGAATCAAGAATTTTCTAATCTCCTTAGAGGTGGTGATAGTAAGAGTACCCGTTCTGATCGTACGGGATTTGAAACTTTGGGGTGCAACGGTAATCGTACTGACAGACGTGTTCTGAAAATGATAACATTAGTATTTTACACATGGTATTGGACGCTTATGATGTAATATAATGTAATGATTTCCAATCGATTACCGTATAGGATTTCAAAACGGAAGATTTTGCTGTGAAGTCTTCGGCACCAAAGAAATAAGGCGTTCGTTTTGTACAATTCTCCATATTTCTCGTTTTTTCTAGCATCACTGATTGGTCATTAGTTCCATGGATGCTCAAGCGTAATTCTTTACATTCACTCTCCCACGTGTTTTTTGGATTTTGCAATCGCTTGAGTACTTCGAACTTGGTATCACATTGTCCAACCGTTGATTTTTCATAGTTTCTTGCTGACAATCGTCCTGTGAATTGGCCAAACTCATTGAACGCCACATCAAGTTGGCTAGCAATATCTCGATAGATATTCATTTGATAATTTTCCATTGGATCATGGATTCTTATTTCTTCAATTTGGGCCTTCCCATAGAGAATATCAATAGTACCAGTGATGTCAAAGGGTACAGGGTTACTTGGTCTGGTTCCCTTCGCAAGTGTTGAAGATGCACTGGCTTCGAACTGATCAAGTTCAGCAAAAGATATGTTACATCGAAGAGCATTGTTGATTCCGTTAGAATTTTCTGAGAAGGGTCGACATTTTACGATAGCTGATGCATTTGATACCACCACTTCGTTTGCCTCTTTGGTCTGTATTGATTCCAGCGCGTTGAATCCAAACTTATATTCTGGACCGAACTTCCATAGTTCTGGAGATTCGTTGATGCACTGATCGTAGCCAATTAATCCCACTAAATACAGCAAAGCAAGATTTAAATTTCTCACAGATGCTAAAAAAGACGAATGTAAATGTAATCTCACCTACGAAGGGAATCAAGCTGAGAGTCTTCATTTTCCGGTTGCTTCTTCAATGACAACTCTAGCCGTAATGCTCACAAGATTTGGACTCCGCCTTTTATATGGCATGCATGATTAATATGGTGCATAGACATGTACAAAGTAAATTGCCATGCATCATACTCAATTGTCCAGTCAGACGGAAATTTTGAAATTGAATAATGGATACTTTTGCGTAATTGTGGTGATCCACTTACTTGAGAAGATTCTGGAGGTACTAGACTCAGTGTATAATTACAGTCGGCGCCACATCTGACAATCGTAGTTTCAATATTGCACATGGAAAATAATAAGATACTAACGAGAAAATGTAATACTTATAATCTTCATGCAGCACATTTAGTTTTTTTCAATGGGCCTTTAAATTAGTCGAATCAATTAGTCACAACATTGAAGACACCCCAAAGCTAACCTTTATAGACAGACTAATTGTATTAAGGGTTACATAGGATAGTTATACAGGATAGGTTCAATTGCACAAGTATTTAATACAGTCGTTGTCAGTAAACAGACATTTAATTTATTATAATATAATTTAATTTTAAACGATTGGTTAATAGTATTATTGTAGGTCATCTTGTGGAGTCGGAAAAGAATTTCGCTGGTCGAGTCTGGACGCCTTTTTAAAGAGAATCAAATAGTTTGAGAGATATGGTAGTTAATACACCGCTCTCTGCGTTACCCAAGGACAATATCTGTCGGTACATTTAGAAAAGATGGACACACAGAAAGGTGGATTTCAAATAGTCCCAAACAGTACACTATAACACTCTGACTTCACCCTACTCGACTACCTACCATCACTGATTAAATAAGATGAGTGATTTACCTGTCGCTATCCTTCTGTAGCAATTCAAATAATTGAATATGAAATCACTCGCTCGACTTGTCAACAGCGTCAGCGGGGGGTTTCAGGAATTTCAGGGATTCCAGGGACAACAGAGTTCACCTCAGAACTATTTGGCTATATATTTTTCGTTTTGTTGCTCTTGCTTTTCTTCATATTTCTGACTACCGAGAGTATAAGAATGGATTTTCATGGGAGAAATCAATATTTCAATGATTATATTGTTTTTGGTGGACCTAAACCAAACAGTTACCGAAATCATCAATCACATCTTGTTTCTAAGATTAGTCGATAAAAATATTAATTCATGTCTTTCTTTTGAAGCCACCAGCAAAATAGATTGCATTTTCTCTGCTTGAACAATGTAATTCTCGATTACTTTGATACTTTCTTAACCATCTAAAATAAATGAGTGTCTTCACCACTTTATGCATAATTTTATTGATGTCGATTTAGATGGAAAGTTTCAATTCATTGATCACAATAATGACAATCGTAAGTTACAGAGAATGTGGTTACCTGTGCGTGAATCTAGTTTGTGAATTCGCAAATGGATTCTTCTTATAATTAACTATGATTAAGTAATAATTCAATGATCAAATAATGAATAACGAAACACTTGCAGTGATCTCAATCGTTATTAGCTTACAACATGATTTTTATCATCAGATCTTATAATCAAATCATCCGCCCAAATTCCCGTTACCCCATAAGTTTCCAAAGTTTCAAGTTCTGTAGATGCCGGCTCAATTGATACCAGTTGAAGACCAATTTTTTCGAAGATCGGGAAGTTCTCAAAGTGACCAGATTTGCGCGTAATCATGAACCCCGTTCGAATAGTATGAGACTCAAAACTCCGAGGTGTCAGCATAATTCCGCTCATAGATGAGTTCTGAAAAAAATAATATTTTATCAGTCCCTGCATAATTTGTGTGGATGAATGAATAGCTGAATTACAGTTTGAATGCTGAAGACGGAATTGTTGTTGGAAGAATCTTCTGCGCCGAATAAGTAGGAAGTGTGCTTCCTACAGTTCCTCACATTTCTTGTCTTCTGGAGCATCAGGGACGAATAGTGTGATCCAACCACTTCCAAGCGCAAGTTCTGACAGGTGCTATTCCACATATTTCCATAAGGTGACTTCATTTGTTGAGAAATTTCGAAACGTGTGTCACATTCACCCATAATCGAGCTTTCATATTTTCTCACAGTGAATCGTTCTTTTTTATCTCCAAACGAATTGAAAGCGAAGCTAAGGTGACTGATGAAGTCTCGGTACATATTCAATCGGTAATTCCCGAAAAAGTTGTGGATTTTTATGTGCTCAACTGCATTCTCTCCGAAAAGAACATCAAATGTCCATCCGGTAATCTCAAAAGGTTGTGGTGGATGTGATCTGTTTGTTTTCGGAGGTGTTGATGATGTATCCGTTTCATAATTATCGATCTCCGCACTACTTACATAACACCGAAGGGTATCGTTGATCTCACTAGAAACTTTCGATGCGAATGGCCGGCATTTCACAAGTGCTGATACGTTTGATTGCATCTCGCGATCAGGTTCAAGTACCGCAGATGCATAAACTTGGAAATGAAAATTATATTCGGGTCCGTATTTCCACAATTCCGGAGAGTCGTTGACACATTGATCATAGCCGATCAATCCCACTAGAAAAAATAATTAGCGAGAATGTTTCAGCAATTATATAATATATTGTTCTTACCCACGAAGGGAATCAGGTACATTCTACTGCACTTTGATGAACGATTACGAGAGAAGTGATGTGCTTACCAGCTGGATTCATGCCTTTTATACTCGTGTCATAGTTAATGTGTTGCATCCGACGACGCAAGGCAAAATTGCTTGAGATCTCTCTGAATTAACAAGTCAGACGTGAATTTTGAAATTGGATAATGGATCTTTCTGAGTAATGGTGACGATTCACATTTCTGTGAGAATTTTTAAAACTGTTCTTAGAATGACCTTAGGAATATGCATATGTGGGGCAGTACATTTTTCATTGTTGCGATTTAATTAATTTTATCTCGGTAGAATCCTGAGTCATTATTTCTGGAGTTTTCAGGAATTTCTAAGTTCGCGGTCTAAAGGAGAAAGTTCCTAGATATGTAATAAAAAGATACAATTGCCTTTCTTGTTGTGATTCTCATGACTATAATTCATTGGTGTTCTTCCTGTTTAATTCGAAGATAACCACACAATTAAATTGCCATTAACATGTGGATCGAGGAGAGGAAATTATTTAATTGAAAGGTTTCAGCCATTTAATTTTCATTCACCGTAGAAATAAAGTTGATTTACAATAGTTAGTATTGAGTAATTGTCTTTGATGCCATGTTTCTTGAAGTAACTTTGGATTGATAAACATATTAATTACTCACTAGTCTAATATATCTCATAAAATTTGCCGCTTTATAATACCAGACTGTGGAAAGTAATTGTTTTTTTTTATAGGAAATAAATGATACAGCAATTTCAACTGACACGCGGTGTTTTTTTTATGGTGTTTATGAGAGTTTCACTTAATTGGTCTGCAGATTGATTTGTATTCCACCGTGCGAAGGGGGAAAATAGCTATTGTAGCACAACGCAGCGAATTCAAACTTCCCTATAAATCCCGACTGCGAACGGCTACAAGTATCATTCAAAATAAAGATTTTAAAATACAAACCCCATCTCTGGTTAATGTTCTAAGTCATCTTTATGTACAGACGTAAAAAGTCATACCCTCATATTCCCCGCGGCAACGGGTTACCGAAAGTACTAATAAAAAAATTAAAAGAATAAAATCCAAAAAATGAAATAGAATATTCTCCTAGAATATGAAAAAAAAAGTATACGTATTTTAATTAATAAGAGACTGATACTTTTTTCCTCGAAATTACTACCTAATGTTAGGATATACAGAAATAATTGTTAGATAAATATCTTTTTTTCACCATCTGATCCCATGGAAAAAATTATGGAAAGTATCTAGTAAAATGGTTATTGAATTGAATAATCCATCACATAAACAACAACAAAGATTTTCGTTAAAAAACTGCATCATAGAAAATATTTCTTCGGTTACTCAAAGATGATATGAATGATGCTCTAATTCAAGCATAAAATATCTGAATAGAATAGTAAAATATAACAATTGTGTAATGGGAAGAGAAGATGAATAGATACAAGACAAAAATGTATAAATATCATATTTCTTTATTGCTTGCGAAAAAAATACAGCAATTGGCATAATTGTGAGAATTTTAATCAAATAAAATTAAGACAAAAATCTAGTTTTATTTGTTCTAGATTACGAATAGTATTTGGGCTTGCAAAAATAATAATCGTTGTTATGTAAAAAGGGATAAGTTGACTGGTCTCCTTGTCAAGTTCATAGTAGGTATCTACGGGACTGAAGAAAACATTTTGGAATAACCCCGTTATAGTTCTCTATGAAAACATCATTATCTCCCATAATTTCGGAGATACTCACAATAAACTTAACTTGTACCACTTTACTACATAATTTATATGATTAGCTAAAAACAAAATAGTATATTATGCAACACGTGCGTAATATATTTTTTGACTAGTGGGGGATTTGTAACACGAGCCAAAGGCGAGTTTTATGACCCCACGAGTCGAAAAATATATTACGCACGCGTTTCATACAAAATTTTATATCATCGCGCCCGGAATCCGCGATTTAATCGAGCGAAGCGAGGTTAGAATCGCGCGATTACGGGCACCGATGGCATAAAATTACGAACTTTATTTTAGTTGTGAATTGTCCTAGAATGATTTCTAGACACCCTACTTTCCCAATTGCTATGATTTTCAGCTGAATTGGGACTCACTAAAAAAGCGAATTTTACCGCCAACTCAAACATTACTACCCATAAGCCAACCGTTGTAAAGGAGGTTTCTCATTGGAAAAAGAGATTAACCAATGGCTGTGTAGTAAATACCACAGACAAAATGTAAACTCTCGCAGAACCAGCAGGGCGTAAAAAAAAGAGTATACCTATATAGTCAAGCATTCCACTAATTACGTGTTTCATCATCCAGCCCTTCATCATTTTCCAATTCTTTAGAATTTTTTTATATTTTATTAGAATTTCGTTTGCTACGAATAAAAATACGACTGGACCCAATAGTACTGTGAGAGATATTGGCACGAGAGAGTTAGGTTATGAGATATATAAAATTCGCTAAAATTCAGTGAAATATCCGTCAAAGTGACACACATGACTCCAGTAAAAGTTATTGTTCAGGGTTTATCCCTGCGTAGTGATGCCAGTGGACATGAAGAAGTATGCAATAAAGGATATAAAAAGAAATTGGAGAGAGTATTAGCAATGTATGGGCCCGTCAGGTGTACATACTTGTGGGCTGATGAAACACATTCTTCTCCACCACCGGACATTATTGACAATTTCGCCCACGTTTACTACAAAAATGAAGAAGATGCAGTAAGGTATCATCCAGTTGTATTTCACATATTATTAGAACCCTGAAATCATTAAATGGCAGACGAGCGATAAATACTCGAAAGCAGGGCAATGGCGATCAATTGCCAATAGGATTGCTCCATTGAATTGCTTATATTTTCTTCTATAAACCACTTTCATCTGATTAATAATTTGGTGTTCCGTCTCAAATCCTGCACATTTTTATAAACATTTTATTTGACATTCAGGCAAAAAGTAAAACAAATTCAATATTTTTTCGATTTTTTATTATTGAAGATTTAGGATTAATCGATTTGATTTCGGATTAATTTTCGACCAATATTTTCTATTGCTTGAAAGATCCATTGAGTCTAAAAATTCACATTATGCTGTGAAAAAAATGACTTACTTTTTACTTACTTCTGTGCAGTAGAGTCATTAGGCACAAGTAAATGTATAAAACCATTTTTATTTGAAATGTCTTATTATCTCAACGAATTTACTTACTAGGAGTTATATCTTTCTTCGTGTAGATTGTAAAATAAAGATTTAAGAATCTGGTTTTGTTTTTGAGAGGATCTTGACAAAAAGTATAACATTTTGAAGTTTGGACCTCCTCGAGCAACTCACAAGCGTTTATAGTACAACATATATTCGTGCCACTATTCTACAGTGTTTCCAAGGTATGGTACATTTTCCAAAAAATTGGAAGCAACGTAGATAAATTTTGGTATGGCGATGATCCAACTCATTAGATAATGATAAAACTTCAAATGGCATACAATTTTGAATCATTGTGCCGTTCCATTTCATTCTTAAAATTTAGGAAAACTATCATAAGTGGTTGGAATTTATGATAAATTATACATAGCAAAAAAAACGGATAGATCAACCTATGCTACACAATGATGCTATTTAATATTATTTTTTCGAATTCTACATATTTGCTCGGTACGTTCACAGTTGTTCCCATCCTTTTATGTCCAATTCTTTACTAACAATGCAAAGAATTTCTAATTCACAAACTTACTATCTGATGAAGTAAAACATTGTTTTAAAATTTTTGCGGCCCATTCAAAAGCCAAAGCTTACCCAAACCCGCATAAACATTAGAATATGTATTTCATTCCAGAGCATCGCAAGCAGCTTCTAATCACGAAGTCCAATTGGATGATTGCATTCTGACCTTGACTTTAGTCTCAAGATCACTGATATCAATTGACATTCTAGACAACGACTGCTTACTCCAGATATTTTCGAAACTCGATCTGGAAGATAGACTGAGAATTGAAGAAGGTAGTTCAATTGATACTTACTTCCCTCATTTCTCACTGATAATAAATGATTCACTGCAGTTTGTCCACACTGGAAGGAGCTAGCACAACATTCTTGGTCGTCTATGAAAAGACTTGATCTGGAATTCGTGTCTGTTACTGAAGCACAATTCGAAACATATTTGATAAAATGTGGCGAATATCTCGAAGAACTTGTCTGCAAAATTGTATCCGCATATTCCATTGCTTTGATTACTACACACTGTGAGAACCTAAAAGCTCTGGACCTAACGATTTATTCAACATTCTCGAACCATACAGCTTCATTGTCACAGATGCTTAAAAAATTCGACAATCTAATATCTTTTAAATGTGACCACAGTATCTCCACTGCATATAACATGTTTGAAGATCTACCAAGTTCGATTAAAGAACTCTCTGTTATATGTCGGTACTGGCAGCCGACCGGAGTTATCAGGGTAACTTTTATATTTTCTCTTTCCCTCGTGCTTTCATTTTCCAATGAGAGTCAGTGAAAAATTAAATGTAAAATTTCGAAGATTCTTCGTTGAATTTTTTGTGGTCAAATACTTTCCATGAAACCGTTTCGACTACCATAAATCTTATTGAATAATCGAGAAATTTATGATTTATAAGTTTCATAACGGATACGATTTTATCACTACTTCATTTGATTTTTAGGATTTTGAGAGATTTCAAAATTTGGAAACATTGGTCATTAGAGGATACGACATTTTTTGTCTAAATGGAATAGAACATTTAACAAAACTGACCCATTTAGATTTTTCAATGTCCACGGTCAGATTTCACCAAATTGCAAAAATTTCAAACTTGGCCGGATTGAGGAAGCTGTACATTCCAGGGGACCATGTCAATCTCAATGATCCCCTGTTAATTGAAATCCTAAAAAATCTGCGGGCACTTGAATATTTAGACATTGCTGGTAAGAGACTGAACGTAAAGCTTTTGTTTACTAAATTCATATATAGCGGGATGCATTCGCAAAACTTTCTGCGATTGAAGCCGGATGAAATCCTCAGATTTATTGAGTTGATTACGATGGTTTCCGGGCAGGGATGCGAGAACTAGATGTTCTAATTTCGAATGATGTCAAAAGTCATCTGACCATTATTTTCATGTCTATGATTACCTCGTAACTTGGAAATGTGCGAATGATATCAGTAGCGAAGTGGTAAATGGAAATTAGTTGTAAACGAAGTATCTTCGTTTACCGCTTTACAACTGAAATGTGTTGGCGACGTGCACCTTTGAACAGATGGTTCGATACGGGAAAATTAGTATCCTTTGAACATGGATATTCTACTTTATCTTTGTCAATCAATTTTTAAAGCTCAAATTATCTCCCATCCCTGCAGATAAATTAATCCTGTCCCAAATCTGTTTTATTTCTATAATTTTTTCCGCTTGAACTTCAAGCATAAACATGGATTATCATAGTCGAAACATCTTGCAGGACAAGCACGACTTACTGATGATTCGTTGCAGCTGATATCAATGTTACCCAATTTAAAGGGCCTGGATGTATCTGGGTTGAAGAATGTAACTTTCAAATCTATGAACGAATTGACGTCATTGGTGGAATTGGTCTATAGAGAAGTTCATGACCTATCAGATGAAGGATTGTGCAGACTCGTCAGGTTGGCACCAAATTTACGATTTTTAGACGTGACGGGCAGTAATGTAACGGCAAACCTTTTCTCAACTGCGGATGTAGTTGTAAAAAAACGGGGGAACAATGTCATTCTAAAAATTATTGTCGATGAAATTATCAATGACTTGGAAAATGTCGAATCTTTGTCACCTCTTTTGAAAATAGAATTTAACATAAAGAGGAACGTTAATTGTGCATATGATGATTTATATGACGGTACTGAAGGTTCTAGTTATGAGGCTGAGGACTGGGGTGAAAATGATTATCTGGATGATGACAACGGATTTGAATTCTTTTAGGTGTAAATTTTATTACGATCGAATATTTCATGTCAAAACGAGAAATAACATAAATACTTTTTTTTGTTCATCAAATGACGTTTCATCATACATAATTACATTTAAGATAAGACAAGGTTAACAACTATATTGGAGTTATTCGATTTCCATTTTTGGAGATAAACCTAAAAATTCATGGATTCAATAACGCATCGGGTTCTTTTTTTTGTGTGCATTTCATTTAAGATAAAGGATTCCGATTAATTCACACAGTAGGAATTAATATTTGATCATCGTTAGTTGAGGATATAATGGAATTATTTCGACTATGAATTCATCGATAGTTGTGGGAAATTAACAATTTGTGATCTGTGGCAAAACGATCAGAAATCAATTTGTAATTCTGACCTCCATCCATTGAGATTGAAATCAAATTTCAATCGTTTTAGTGGTCAGTTACGGAGTCCATCAATTACTATGTTGAAGTGGAAAACAAATTCTACTTAATAAAGCTTTGTAATACTAATGGAAAATTCTAAAGTACGTTACATTCTTTTAGTTATACGTAGTTCTTACCCATCTTTCTATATTCTTAACGTATGGAATCATGGGATGTTTCTTGCGGACATTCCAGTGATTTCAAAAAGTTTTTCTGAAAAACATTCCTTTCAAGATTATGATGCACACGTTATCATCGGACACCGAACGGAATCAACTGACGACATGGAGGATGCTTAAATAAATTAAATACGAAATAGTTCGGAATGGTCGATTCCCCGAATTCAAAAATTCACTTCTTGCTGGTGCCAATAACGTTGACAAGAAAAACCTTCCACTTCTGCGCTGTCCACGTGAGCAGATCATGTGCATTTTTACAGTGGTTAAGGTTGAGCTGCAATACCTTCATCAGTTCGTGTTTGCCATCTTTTGCAGCGCCTCCTAGTATATTGAGTCCTTTCTGCTGCCACACTTACAGAAGAATTTAGCTGACTTCAACGAATCAAATCAGTGCAGTCTTTTTTCCTCATTCGGTTGACTGAAATGAATATCCGTTGAAGTTAAGTAAATATCATGTTAATCTAACAGAATATATCCCCCC